CCATGCCCAACAACTCCTCGTCCTTTTCATGCAGCCAGGCGTCATTTGGCAGAGCGCTCATTGAGACTTTGGCCATGAGACTGAGCAGACAGGGGTCCGTCTTCTCTAGCAGTTGACCCACAGCCTTCAGCACGTTGCCCGCCTGGTCCTTCGGCGGGGGCAAGAAGAGGATACTGGTGATTGGACCCATTCCAGTCATCTTCTGCGTCTGGTCTACATCCGGTTTCCTCAGGCGTGGAAGACCCTCCGTTTCAGAGAGGCCAAGAGCCCGCGAGGAGCAGCGAAATGTCGACCTGCGCATGACCCGACTCTGCCTTTTTAGAACTATCGTGCCGTTGGCAGCAGCTGAGGCAACCGAGGAGTTATTGGTTTGATTTAGAAAGTCGCTAAAAAGTTCACTCTTCAGTATCGCCTCAGTGGGCAGGTCTGAGTTGAGACGTTCAATAAAAGAGCCCTCTGACAGCTCAAATAAACTGTCTTCGCTGGAGGATTCATTGAGTGGGGCACCAACGGTCACAGGCACTACCGTCTGCATCATGTGCCTAGAATAGTTTTCCCGAAGTTTTTTAGAGCGTGGGGCCATCGTGAAACGGGCTTCCTTATTGCGCGTCTTCTGGGCTTCTTGCACTGAAGGCAGGTCGTTGACACCAGAGACGCAGGGAATCACTTCGCGATGGGGCGGTAAATTGGTATGACATTTCCGAAGCAAAATCGTGTCCACACCGGGAGCGTTGATCAGTGTGGTCTCGGTAATCGCTTCCACAGCGTCGGTATCGACCCCGCCATCGGAGAGATCGGGAGACTCGTAGTCTGAGTCATTGGAGTGGTCCACCGGAATTTTTTTGATAACTTCGCGAGTCAGTCTGTGCAGCGGTATGGGACTCTCAGGAACAAGGTCTTCGATAGCCTTTTTCATCAGCAAAGCGCCTCCGGGCAGGTGAAACTGACGTCGTTGACGTTCAATTTTGCCTGAGAGTATGACGTCGGGGTCTTTTGACTGGA